GTTAATGTATTGCCATTGGGGATTCAGTTCTACATGTTATGCAAGGTATCCTTGAGTGATGTTGCAGCCAGTCCTGGCTTACACAAGAGTTACACAAGATTCATATTTGTTGGTATTTTTACATTTTTAAGTAGATGCTAAAAATGCACTCTGTAGTCTATTTGTAAGGCCTTTTCACAGTTGTTTAAAGACAGTAGCAGGCTGTGCTAATATATTTTATTTCTTGCTTACTTAAATTTATTGGCTGCCCAATTCCAGCAGAATCTAGGCACAGAGAACTGGAAAGAACATAAAACAGCTAAAAACATTAAATCAAGCAGTGAGAGGCTGGGACAAGTCCAGCACCAACAGAGCCCCTGCTGTACCATTCCACAAGATGATGATAAGAAAGAAGTAGAAGGAAGATCTATTAAGGTCAGAGGCCTCTTCACCACCACCTTCTGTACAGACTGGCCAAGGGTAGAGTTGGGGGTGAGAGATAGCTAAGACACTTTGACTGTTATAAATGTTCACTGATTGCCAAGAGCCCAAATTTTGATCATGTGGCCCCCAGAGATGATGCAACGATGGTAAGTGCGAGGATCGGTCATATATCCATTTTTTCAGCACCATCCTGACTTTGAACAGTCACTGAACAAATGGTTGTTTTCTGCTGTCTGGAATGAGAGTCCAGTGATGGCTTCTGTGGACCTGGATCCCAGGAGCCCCTTTGCTTCTCCAAGGAACTCAGAGATGGAGAACACAGACCAGAGCCCATGGAACATGGGTCAAACATTTTATTGACAATTTCACATGTGGATAAAAGCAGCAAAATGTATTTCATTGTTCTATCACTTCCTCAGATAGCCAACCAGTAGCCCTAAACAGGCGAGACCTATAGGGATATTGTGAAGAATATTCTAGGCATCTTTCAAATAGTATTGTTGGACCCTGGCTTTTCAGGCCATTTGGATTCAATTGTTATAGCTTAAATATCTGGGAAGAATTTGAATCTGTGGGACTTAAGAAGATAAACAAGGTTGATCAAGGCCTTCTGGGAAAAGATACTTGGTTGGATCCAGGAAGTGATACATTCTTCAGGAAATGATTCAGCAAGCTCTTAAAAAGCAATTGCCTACCTCCTCCTCTAGAAAACATTTCTGGATCCAACAATATTGGACATCTTTTGTCTTGTCTCCATTCTTTCCATTTTAGGGAAGATTGCTGAGAATGTGATTAGTTTGCAACTTCAGAGCACAATGGAAGAAAATGATTACATGGCCTTTTTTCAGTCAGGTTTCAGATCAGAATGTAGCATGTAGCACTGACCTATTGATTATTTGGGGCAGGATCAGGAAGGGGTGATATACCCATCCTGGCCTTCCTTGATCTCTCAGTGGCTTTCAAAACCATCAATCACTAAATCCTTCTGGACTGTCTCTGGAGTAAAGAGTAAGACACATGATGTTGCAGTACTTTCATTTCCCTTAGAAATGGTTTCAGGTGGTATTGCTAAAAAGGGAGGCTTTAACCAGATACTTTGTGTGGTCCTTCATAGCTCTTTATTCCTGTTTAACATCTACGTGAGGCTATTGAGTGAGGTCATCCATCAATCTGGGATAATGTATCATCAATATGTAGATGAAATTCAATTATGTATCTCAACCTCTTGCCAAACAAATTAAGTCACTAATGTTTTTTTCTTTGGCTGGAGTTTGTGAGAGGTATGGATAGGGAAGAATAAGCTTCAGCTTAGCCCTACAAGATCACATCACTAGGGTTGGTGAGTACTGTAAGCCTCCATCTTTAATTTTGGATGTGGTTGCACTTCCTCAAACTGAGGAATATGCCATATGGAATTATCGAGTCCTATTGGACTCCTATTTTCTGCTTAAAGGATAGGTGATAGCTGTAGCCAAAAGGGCCTTTCCACAAATCCATCCTGTGTGGCAATTGTGCCCATTACTGGACAGAGAGGCACTCCTGGTTAGTCTCTGCAGAAACAGCAGCAGCATAGTTAATAATAAGTACACCATAATACACCATGTAGCATCACTGCTCCATGAGCTGTACTGCTTCCTAATACACTTCTATGTACATTTCAAGATGCCAGTTAACATCTATAAAGCCATAAATGACATTAGATCAGTTACTTGCAGGACTACCTATCTACTCATTTCATGATATCCGACAGGATAGTTTAGTTCCACATCTCCTCCATAAGCCAGTGTTACCTTGTGGAATTTAGGAAGTGTTCCTCTTTTAGCATGGCACCTGCTGTATTGAACAGTTTATCCACCAAGATTAGGGTGGTCCTGATCCTGTCGGCTGCAAGCCTTGACAGTCTATTTTTCACATTGCACAGGGCCAAGTTGATGAATGAGACTATATGAAATAATTTAATATGGAATAATTATGGGTGGGCTTGGTTTGTCATTTTTTTATTTGTTTATTGCTTTTGTACTGATTTTATCTTATGTTAACCACCCAAGGCTGCAATTTACAAGTTGGGCAAATCGATTCAGTTAAAGCACCTAATTCCCACAGCACTGCTTTATGCCTAAAGATGTTGTAATCTTCTCATCTTTCACGTCTACTCATTTTTCTTATCTTTCCTATTACCTTCTCCTATTGGTATCTTAGGATTTATCACTTGCTGTTTGTATCTTATGATTTATGATTGTATCTTATGATTTATGATTGTATTTTATGATTTATGATCTATGACTATCACTTTGCTGTTTGTATGTACACTGGGAGCTTATGCACCGGAAACAAATTCCTTGTGTGTCTATTTACAGTTGGCCAATAAAGGATAAATAGATAGATAGATAGATAGATAGATAGATAGATAGATAGATAGATAGATAGATAGATAGATAGATAGATAGATAGATAGATAGATAGATAGGAGACTGAGCTAAATCTCACCTCAGATGGTATTGTTAATCTCCTACTTTGGTAAAAAGAAAAAAAAAAGAATGCCAGCCTAAAATAAATGTTCAAGGCAACATAAGCAGGAACTCATTCCAAAATTCCAATGTGACTCTATTTTATATAAAATCTGTAGACAATGTTCCAAAATATCATTTTTCTTTAGATTGCAAGAAAATAGGAACTCCAGAAAATAAAAAGTTTGGGGTGCTTCAGATGGGCAGCCCCTGAAGCTACTAATCCAGGGATTTTATTCAAGTATTCTATCTTTCCTTCTTTGTGTATGGGTATTACTATTGTTTTCGGTATTAAGAAAGAATAATGGAAGCAGCAGTGAGAAATTATAGGAGGGTTAAATGTGAATGAAACTGTCTGGTGCCTGTCTCTCACCATACAATTTCAAATTGAATATATGGAATCCACAACAATTTTAAGATTTCATAGAATATTAAACTCATTTCAAAAACAATCACATTTCCACCACAGTAACCACTGTATATTTGAAATACCACCAGAGTGATTGCTCTGCATACAGAAATTTTCCCCAGTGCAAAGCACTCATCGTATTGGAAAAATTGTGTTCACACTGCTCAGGTATTGCCCCAAATACCACATTAATATGGTGATCTACCAATATTATTTGAAGATTGACAATTACTGTATTACGCTTCCAGTTGCAATTTGTTGTTTGTTCCACTGAGACATTTGATAGCCTAGGAAACAGTTACCAAATAGTTGTGATTCTATCTCATTCAGAAGGCTTGTCAGGAGAAGGAGCACATGCTGACTGAGATCAAACATAATGTAATAGTTAAGATGTTGGTCTAGGACAACAATGGCAAACATGTCACATGCGTATCAAAGGTGATACACCAAGACATTTTGGGTGACATATCAGTGTTCACCAACACCTGACAACTATTCTTGAAAACATGCTGTGATTTCATGTTTTTTAGAGGATGAGGGGGCCATGAGAGAATGAGGTGTACTTTTATGTAGTCTCCAGATCCTCCAGAAGTTTCGCAAGAGAGTCGTGCTCTTATGTGGTCTCCTAGAGCAGTGGTTCTCAACCTTTCTAATGCCGCGACCCCATAATACAGTTCCCCATGTTGTGGTGACCCCCAACCACTTATACATCACCGGGTGCCAGGGGCGTGGCCAAAGAAAAGGAGGAAAAAATGGTGGACAGCCTTGTTTGGCGACCCCCGTGAAATGGTTGTTCGACCCCAAATGGGGTCCCGACCCACAGGTTGAGAACCACTGTCCTAGAGCCTCCAAAAATCATGCTAAAACAGGCGCTCTTTCTCATAGTTTCTGGAGGCTGAGAAAGCCATTGAAGAGAATTCTCTGAAAGACTTTATTGTTTATTTTATTTAGTGTATGGCAATCAAGAATGAAGGCCTCATGTGACCTGGAGCAGTTTCAAGTAGACGCAGAAAGAGAACATGGCCTGAAAGTATGCAACATGCAACAGATCCTGGAGAGTGCTGGGCTGTCGGGGCAATTACAACCATTTCGCAAAGGTTGCAGTCCTTGGGGAACATTAGGGTTGAAGTGAAGGCCCAAAAGGTTTGCCATCATTAGACTAGGACCAGGAAGACTCATTTTGATTACCAAAGTCCATGCATATATTTGGATCAGATGCTGTCCCTCATGATAACTGCTATACTGAAAAAATAGAGTAAATAAATATTTACATATACTCATACACACACACACACACACACACACACACACACACACACACACCTCCTTGAGCTTCTCTAGAAAAGGTGGAGCCTAAACCCAATAAATAATAACAAGCTTCTATTAAGCCCAGACTTTTTCATACAACATTAACCATTCCACTTCTCCAGAAAGTATTTCTCTTCCAGCATCTGGAATCTGGGAGTGTACTTCCCCTGGAAGCAGAAACTTACTTAAGTGGTTTTATCCTCTTTGACACAAAGACCTTCACATGCTGATGTGAGACAGGATTAACTTCTATCTTTGAGGAAAAGAAAGCACCCCAGATCTTTTTCCCACTTGAGATACCAACCTATCCCTTTACCCCCAGCTCCCCAAAGAGACCCTATGCCCCCACTTACTCTGGGGTGTTGATCCAGATGATGTCCAGGTGGCAGTAGTAAACACACTCTTTATCTTTGTAGGTATAGCAAGTACAGCGTTTGGCTCTGTGGTGGACCTCCCTCAAGCCAGCCCCGTTGTCCGGTTTGGAGCTGGTAGCTGAATTCGGTCTTCTGGGTTCTGTGCTGGTTTCTTTGCTGATTTTTTCTGAGAGCCCCAGAAGTCTCAGCCCTGTGCTGTTACTCCTGCTCACACTGGGAAGCAACAGGGGATGAGCGGTGGATAGCAAGAAACCTGCAAATCGTGGTGGGTGGGAAGTGGAGGGGGAGGGGGAAAAGAGGCCAAATTAGAAAGAAGCTGTTCCTAGCAAAGCAGTCAAGTCCTGCAACAAAACCCCTAGTGCCACATCTTGGTGCTGGGTTTGGATTTCTTTTTCTCAACTTCTAGAATTACAACTGTGACAACTCAGCCGACAACATTTAAACAGAAACCACGCAGATGCCCCCCCCCACCTCGAGTTCACAGTAATGAATGAAAGCTGGGGAAGAGATCAAGAAAGAGAAATGCAAAACAGAAAGTTAAATTATAAATGAAAAAAAAATCTCAGCACGGCTAACAAAACAGTACTATAGGGACAAACTTAACAAAACTTATTTTTTTTCCAAAACTATTAGCATATATAAGAAAACGCAGATCAGTAAGGGGAGTAAAACTCTAGTTTGTAACAATTTACACACTTGAGAAGAATGGCATAAAATGGGTTTGTTACTGTCAGACAGGTGCTCTGCAATTTGAAGAGGCATTTGCAATTTGCAAAGATTTATGTAAAGGCTGCTTCAAATATAGTAATGGAACTCAAAGAGGTAGCTGATGAGAAAACATCTTGAAACCCCAGCTTTTTAAGCATCCTCTAAAAGGGTGGATTTCAACAGAGATCAAATCCAGTCTGGTTCCACAAAAGCAAAATCCTATGTTTCAAAAAGCAGCTGAGAGGCTTCCAGACACAATTCAACAGGCTCTTCAGAACCCCAAACTCAGAATCCTGGGAGCAATTGTTTCATTCAAACAAACTCAACTAGAAAATGTTAGCATTATGTTTTTCCATCATCAAAGCACTCTAAATAGATACTATCACAACACCCCTGCATGGCCTGCCAGGGCTCTCACCTCCAAATTCCACCCAAAACTGTTCTTAATCATCTCTGGGCTTATGGCTAATTCTTATTTTAGGATTTTTAGGTGCCAGTTTCACAGTCTGCCTCTCCGCCCCTAGCAAAAGAAACTGGATTCTTTTTTCTTCAGAACCGAACACACACACGATGTGGCCACTACATAAAATATCAGCAACATAAACAACACCTTGCAAAGAAGGGATCCCTCTCTTTCCCTTGGTAGAAACAAGTATTTTAGAATCATAGGGCTGGAAGGGACCTCCGAGGTCTTCTAGTCCAACTTCCTGCTCAAGGCAGAATTTTTTTTTTTTATTCAAAGTTGGCTACTAAAAAACTTTCAAGTGTGATTTCGGAAGTTACAAACTGTCTGTCCGCTGCAGCCTCTTGCCTTTTTATATGCTTCAAAAACAGTAAAAATTGTTATAATTATGTCATTGTTTTTTAAAGAAGTGTATTGCTTTCTTTATTTGTTCGAGATGCCTCGATTTCTCCGAGGCCCGAAACAACTTTACTTACGAAGCAATTCACGTCTGGAATTGCCCTGCCCGATTGCACTCTGGTGCCCATTTTCCAGGCAGTAACAGCGTGCCTGTATTGGGGCAACCAAACTCCAAGCCAACTTGCCTAGACCAGCGGTGAACAAGCAACTTTTCTTTCGCGCGGCTAACGGAAAGCCGCTGTCAAGAACTGGATCAGAAACCATCAGGCGAAATAAGGCGTATCTTCTTTCCCCGCACGCAATTCTTTATTTATTCATTTACTTATTTTTCCTTGCGTTTTACCTGCGCTCGAGAGAAATGTAAGTCCAACCAGTATCAGGAATCCCCGCTCCATGAAATCCAGATTGCAAGCTTCTCAACTTGCAGCAAATTCCGGCAGCAAGAAAAACGCGGGCAAAGATAAAATAAAATAAATCCAAATCCGGGTAATATTTGCAATGCGTCAAATTTCTCCTGGCTAACTCGCCGTTGGCGCGCGCGCGCCCAGGTCTTCTCAGCGCCTGGAGTGTCGAAACGCCAGGGGAGCCTTCCTTCCACTCCCCCCCTCCCCTTTTTTTTTTTTTTTTTTTTTTTTTTGTAAGCTAGTCCCAAAGACGTAAACAGGACAAAGCCACCTCTCGCTCCATGGCTCGCCTGTTCTTCTCTCGCTCCTTTCCCTCTTCCTCGGCAGCCTTCGATCCGACCCTAAACTAGACCCTCGTTTTTTCCAGGCAAATAAAATAAAGAGAGTATTTAGACGTCGTCGAGCCAGGAGCCGTTTCCAAGCGACTTCGCCTGGCTGCTATCGCCCCGACTGTCCAGGCTGTCGCATCGTGCTTTCTCCGGCACTTGACCCACGCGAGACGCCGAGGCGAGACCAGCCAGCACGCGCTGCTCCCACGCCCAGAGCCAAGTCCAGCCGAAAGCGAGAGTCCGCGCGGCGAGCGCAACGCCACGCTTCAAGGGAGCGCTTCACTCTGCTGTGGGCGGGGCGGGGAACCCCGGGAGAAGATGGGGCGCGGCTCCCCCGGAGGTCCTGGTGCTGATTGGTTATGCCTTAGGCCGGTTTTACGTGCGGAGGTCCTTCAAGGCAGAGAGAGTCCCTTGGCCAGGACTCCAGAGGAACTGCAAAAGACGAGGATGGGTTTCTGTAAAAGGATTTGTCCAAAGACTTCGGTGGAAAACACTGGAGCTGTTCTGCTTAGCTATAGACATATAGGTTCCATTTACAACAGCAAACAGGGCCATCTTTGATTTGACTAAGCCAAGCCATGATTCTGTGAACTCAACAACAATGGGCTGAGTTCACAAACCTAGCAAAATTGTAAACTACGTAGAAATATGTAGCCCTGGGCCACCTAACCCGTGTAAAAGATTAGCAAAAGACTGCCCACCCCTTCCTTAAACGATAGGTCACAAAGCACAATTAGATCCACACAGGGTGCTAAACCAAAATCAGACCAGATGTGCATTGCATGAATTTAGTTATTATGGCTCAGTCAAGCTATAGTTAAAACAAGCCAGATAAAGCTTTGTTTCAATGTAGCATCTCTGATATAGGTAGGCTTTATTTAAGGATACACATCCAGTGATACTTCGGTGTTTCCCAACCCCCACCCTGTTGAAAAATCTCACTAAAGTACATTTTCTCCATGACTTGGTTCACACAGATACTAAATCAGGATTTGCATAAATTTATCTGCTAAATCAACACAATTATCTCAATTCACACAAAATGCTAAGCCAAAGCAACAACTATATGATGGCACAGTTGTGTGAATTTAGTCTTCCTCTTTCTTATCAGTAAGGCTGAAAAAGGAGTACTTGGACCCAGTGACATTTACTGAACTTCCAATAGGATTTGCTTTCAAAACTGGCTAGCCAGGTGCTCACAGGAAAGAGTCCAATTAATTTGTGAATGTCATGGCCTTTTTATGTATCAAAAATGTACACAATATGTAAATATGGAGGAAATAAATCTAAGCTTATGCCAGATCAAATTTAGCAGGAATAATGCAAAACATTCACAAAGCTCCTGAAAAGTTTATTCTAGAAATCTGCAGTTACTAAGTGTGGCTAAATGCCCCTGCCACAAGCAACTATGCCTCATTTACAGAAGAGCCACTGCCATAATACACCACACAGCTCTCCGTCACTGGTAAACAATTTACACTGCCTAGATCTTCTGCTGAAGAACAAAAGCCCAACCTGTCAATCTTTGCTAAGGATCCATTTGGTTCAAAAGTACAATAAAACTGAAGATCAGAAATATGTAAGCATAGCACATATTAAAAAAACACCATTTGAGAAACATAGTTAACAGTTGGTTGCAAAGTCAGATGTTTAGACTGGATTTGGTATTTTTATCCATCTATCACAGTAGTTCTCAACCTGTGGGTCGGAACCCCATTTGGGGTCAAACGACCATTTCACGGGGGTCACCAAACAACGCAGTCTGCCATTTTTTTCCCCTTTTCCTTAGCTGTGCTACTCCCTTTTATTCTATTGGCTTTTGAACAGAGTCTAATTCTATTGGCTTTCAAAAGCCAATAGGAATTGTCCAGGCTGTCTCTGCCCTGCTGAGCCCGCCAAAAGTCCCATTCTGCAAATGGTGCTGCACCAGTTGAGTAGTCCTCGACTTACGACCGGTTGAGTAGTCTTCGACTTACGACCGATTGGGGGTTGCGGCATTAAAAAGGTTGAGAACCACTGATCTATCAAGTCCTTCCCAAAAATATCTGCCTGCAATGATACTTTTAACACCACCAAATATCTGCCTGGGATTGGCAGATGTTTGGTGGTGTTAAAAGTATCATTGTGGGATATAAGCTGTTCCAAGTAGAGCTGTCTTTTGCAATTGACTAATGGTGATTTTGTCAATGCGGATAGTATTCAAGTGGTGTTCCAAATATTATTATTAGTGAAAATGCTCAACAGTAATATGAAGTTTTTTTCTGACAGCTTTAATATCACAGCACTTCTTGAAATGATCAGGTAATGAAGAAATGCTGGGTAGTGGCAAAACCATTCTAAGAAATTCTTATTTCCAAGAAAGAAGATGCAGTACTGTACTTGCAATATACATTTATCCAACAGTTAACAAAAACCAAAATGGTTTACTCAAATAATACAATTTTTTTTGAGTTCACGTGACACACCTCTGTAATATAACTGCACATTTTGGATTACACAAAACAGCTAAAATATGATTTGGTAGTCTGTTATTTAGTGCATTGTATAAGCATGCCATTTAAAAAGATCCTATCTCCTCTGTAGTCCACACAATTTATTAACTCAATACATTTTTCCTTATGTTCAATTGTGTCTGATTGTTGGGTGACTGTCTGAAGTTTTCTCTGCAAGGTTTTTCAGAAGTGGTTTCCCCTTGCCTCCTTCCTAGGGATCAAAGAGGATGATTTGCTCAAGGTCACCCAGCTGGTTTCATGCCTAAAATGAAACTAGAATTCAAGTCTCTTATTTTGTAATCCGATGCTTTAACCACTACATCAACCCTTACCCTAACTCAGTCATTACAGTTTAGCAAATGTGTGAATCCAGCCGACCTCTAATCCTAACACAGATCTGGCAAAAAAGATTGATCCTATTTCTGGTGATTCAAAACTTGGAAATCCAGTTCTGACTTTCACCAGCATCAACCCCCACTACAACATGGATTCTATTTCTCAAGTGAAAGCAAGACTGTAACAGAATTTTCTATCCAATTATTATTTACTAAAGAAATGTAACAAGAACAATTTTGTACAATGGTCTAGATTCTACACAGGCAAGGAAGGATTTTCTTAAAGAAGAAAACATAAATACGGTACAGTATGTTCCCTTTGCATTTCATCAGACCCTTAGAAAAGAAGGAGTGCTTTGGTCTTTGTACCAAGAGCAAGGTCAGCTTTAGAAGTAACCAAACACTTCTTTAAGTGCAATCAAAGTTCAGAAATGAAACACCCCAATTCTGGGCTTGGATCCAATTATGTTCTTTGGGATATAATGCAAAAGGATTTGACTGAATTTTCATTGCAGAAAAATAACACTCAAAATAAGTAAATACAGTTTTTTTAAATTCTCAAAGTCTGAAATACTTCTGATCAAATGTTCTTTTCAGTGTGATTATTCTGATGGAATGGAAAGATATCACCTGCAACCTGAGAAGAACAAAATGCCTGTGTTTATATTTGCTTCCTAAAGTAAGAATGGTTTTAATCTTATGTATGACCAGCCCTGAAAATCAGCAAATTTGGAGGAATTATATAAGTGGTTCCCAAGCATGAGCTATGAACCTCCCCACAAGGAACATTTCATATTTGTAGGGGGTCATAGTAAGTTTATAAGAGGCCACCCAAGCATATAATCATTTTGTCTATCCTCACATCTCATTATCTGTGCTAATTTTAGCAGCATAAATATTGAAAACTGGTACAGTTTATGATTTATATCTTAAGAGTGGTTATGGAAGTGAGTCACAGAGGCAAATGAAGCTGATAAAGGGGCCATAGCAAAAAAAAAAAATGTCAATCTCTGGATTACCTTGGTACCAGGTAAAGATCACATGAAAGATGACATAGGTGCTCTTCTTTAAATTGGATAAATAATAAACCTGAAGAAAATTTAAGGACTATAATTATTTTAATGTTTTTGATGCTCTACTTGTTTTTTTTATTTTATGATGTTGTAAGCTGCCCAGTGTAATAGTAAAATGATGATAGTAAAATGATGGCATATAAATTTAATATAAATAAATAAAAAGGCATAAATTAGCCCAGATAAGCATTTTGAAGTTATAATGAAGTCAAGAATTACCAATGGTCCTTATTTAGGAATTAAAAGACATTGCCTTAGTAGTCTTCTCCATGGAGAAGGGGATACTGCTTTCATTATTCTGATGAAAGCAGTGAGACCCTGGGGTCACTATTGTTTACTTAGGAATTCAACTCACAGCTCTCGTAAAAGCAATGTTACGCTAGCCAAATTGAGGTATTCCAAAAAAGTAGAAAAACTGCAAGCAATAATGACAAGCCCTGTACCTTCAACTAAAGCATGGACATCCATATAGGCAATGTAGAATCCTGCTCTGAAAAATTCTTTGTGCATACAGCTACTGAACAAAATATAGTTGCCTGAGAATTTTGATGCTCACAAACAGTTCTTTCATTAATTTAAACTGGGAGAAATCAGTGACTAAATATCAGTCTTCTTTGGTTTCATCCTTTCAAAATGTTTTGGACTATACCTCTCAGAAGACCTAAGGATTATGAAAGTTGATAATCCAAAACCTTTGAAAAGTAACAGCTTGAAAAAGTTGGCATTTTATTATTAAATCCTCATCCTCATCCATGAATGTCCAAGTCTGGTACTTTCTCTGAATTTTTTTTTAAAAAGCTCACACACATAAGAAGTAAGTGGTTTGCTGCACCTGGATTCAATTAGTTTGTGTGCTAGCAGCCATTTCTAAAGAAAAGCTATTTCATAAAAACAGCCAGCTTTCTATCTAGTGTTAATTCGGAGATAGGTGTTTCCTCATATGCAAGTGAAAGGTTTGTTTAATTTTATTGTTACAGTTGTTGCCAGTAACTGAAGTAGTACAATAATAATCCTTGAGGAATGATCAGCCTCAAACCCCATATGTTCATGGATTAGATGTTTCTTTATTTACACCAGGGAAGATAACAACAGAACAGGGACTTTTTTCTGTTATGACAACAGCATACTCTGCTTCTCCATATCCCCCTTGTAAGTTTTCCATTTTTATAAACCCTTTTGATGATGCATTTGGATCAAAGAGTAGAATAAAAATACACTATTTTAAACAATACCACTTAACACTTAAGTGAGAAAACTATTGGATCATACATCAATTGACAAAAACATCTCCCATTTTTCAAGCACTGTGCTATGATTACAAAGTACAGACTTTCAGATTTTGCTACAAGCAATATCAACAAACAGAACAGACATCTGTAAAGAGATTTGGACTGGACACACAAGTGTCCTAAGTATATACATTTTTACCTAAGACTATGACATTTTAAATTCAGCCAAAATGATTTTATGCTGTTGGGAAAGGCATCATTACACAATTCTATTTTTTTAAAAAAATAATGAGAAAGTCATTGTCATTTACTTCAATTCTACTTCTATTCAGAATCCAAACTAAATCATTTCCAACAAGTCATTCAGACATAACCTGACATTTGCAAGGAAGAAGAATCCATTCTCTGCCTTTGTTCTACTGCTGAACTGCTTTATGGTTGGGAATGTTTTCCCACTATTCCAAACTTGTGTTTCTATAACATAAGATCATCTCTCCATTCTTACATCCTGGAATGATAGGGAATAAATAGGTCACCTTCTAGT